GTGGTACCCTGAGTTTTGGCCATAATTCGTTCCAGAAGGCTGTTTAAGTGCTGTTACCAAACCATTTGTTCGCATAAGAATAACGTAAATTTGATTAGTCCGTTTCAGACCTCCAAAAATACACTTACAAATGCACTTACATAATTGTTAGAGTTGGGAGCTGTATGAAACTCAGGGTACCACTGTATTTAATAATAATAATGTGATACTCGTTGGTTGCACATTACTGTAATATGAAGAACTTAGAGGTAAATAAGGTCAATGGAAGACTGCTAACTAACTTGTCAGATTACATAAGCTTACTAAAGGAATCTCTTAGAGATATAAAAAAACAGAAGTTTGTTTACATTTTCTCATCTTCATATACATATCATGACTATCATTCATAGCAAAATGAGGTAAGAACAAAATTCCTTCACATTTTTTCTTTCACCTGCAATTCACAAGAGCAACTATAAATAAAAGAATCTACAAAACTTCTTTTATTGCCCCCAAAAAAATTGATCATGCAGAATAAAAAGGTAATTAAATGGAAATTGTTTAAATAAATTAATAATCTTCGAGATGCATATAAAAGTCACGTCTCAGAACCATGGGCTGCACAATAGATCTATTAAGAAAACAACATTGAAGGTAAATAAATATTTCAGAACTATGTAATACAGTGGAACCTCGGTTTTCGTCATTAATTCGTTCCAGAAAGTCTGACGAAAACCGAATTTGACAAAAAGTGAAGCAATATTTCCCTTAAGAAATAATGTAAATCCAAATAATCCGTTCCAGACACCCAAAAGTATTAACAAAAAATACATTTTATAGAAAATAACTATAGTTTTGCATACAGAAAACAAGAGAAATAAATATAAAGGACTAATAAAATGGATAAATGAACATTTAACGTCACTTTTACCTTTATTGAAGACACTTGTTGGCGTATGGAAGATGGCGAGGAGGGGAGAGGGAGGAGAGGTTTTCTCTGCCACCATCACTACCACCTATACCATCATCACAACCACTACCACCATCACTACCATCCTCTACCACCATCACAACCACTACCACTCTCTACCACCATCACTACCACCCTCTACCGGCGATAAACAAAGCCAAACTGACTCAGAATGCGTGGGAGGCTTTGTGTGGACGCGGACAGACACGTTCAGTACGGCAGACCACTGTCAACTCGACGAAAACCGAGGTGATGAACGAAAACTGGGACAAAATTTTGATGAAAAAGTTGTTGAAAACGAATTCGGCAAAAACCAGGGCAAATGAAAACCGAGATTCCACTGTATTGATTTTGAAAAAGGTGAAAAAATTTCTGCACAAATAATCAGCTTATAAGAATAATAAATTTGTAAAGAATAAATATGGTTTTTCTCATCAGTACAAGAAGACATACATTATTTACATTAACCAATTTCCACCCAAACATGTCTCACACCAAATAAATAGAGCAGAAGAAAGGAAACAAGAAAAGGCAAAGAGGCCCAGAGTGAAGTTAGTATCCCTCAAACTGCTGTGTCTCAGGTAAGGTCACATAATTAACCATTGGTTACACATTGGAACTAAAGACAGTAGTATTTAGGAAAAAGGATATTTTTAAAGGAATTTCGCATTGACAATGGAAACATACTGGCAGGGTTGATTTCTGCTCTTGTATTTTAGTCACATGAATATTACAGTTGAATCTTACCAACTTCTACTACTAACATTCTGTACAGTATACGCTTACCTTTATGTGCATTTACAGTACTGATAGCTCTTGTTCCTATAGTGTTCCTTTTTCCTGTTTAGTATGACTGGTCTGAGACAAGGCTGTGGAGGCAATTATCCTGGAATCTTTAGTAAACATAGTGGATTTAAACCTCTGTGCTATAAATGCATTTTTCTCTTTTCTTTCAACAAACCGGCCGTATCCCACTGAGGCAGGGTGGCCCAAAAAGAAAAACGAAAGTCTCTTTTTTAAATTCAGTAATTTATACAGGAGGAGGAGTTACTAGCCCCTTGCTCCCAGCATTTTAGTTGCCTCTTACAACACGCATGGCTTATGGAGGAAGAATTCTGTTCCACTTCCCCATGGAGATAAGAGGAAATAAACAAAAACAAGAACTAGAAAGAAACTAGAGGAAAACCCAGAAGGGTGTGTATATATATGCTTGCGGTATAAACCTTGGTAATAAATATGCTTGTACATGTATGTGTAGTGTGACATAAGCGTAAGTAGAAGTAGCAAGACATACCTGAAATCTTGCATGTTTATGAGACAGAAAAAGGACACCAGCAATCCTACCATCATGTAAAACAATTACAAGCGTTTGGCAGGACGGTAGTACAGTGGACCCCCGGTTAACGATTTTAATCCGTGCAAGAGGGGTAATCGTTATGCGAAATAATCGTTATGTGAATGAATTTTCCCCATAAGAAATAATGGAAATAAAATTAATCCGTGCAAGACACCCAAAAGTATGAAAAAAAAAAATTTTTTACCACATGAAATGTTAATTTTAATACACACAAACTGAAAAAGGCATGCACACTTACATGACACTTACTTTTATTGAAGATCTGGTGATGATTGATGGGATGGGAGGAGGGGAGAGCATTATCTTCTTACTGTTTAAAAGGGGAATCCCCTTCCATTAGGACTTGAGGTAGCAAGTCCTTTTCCGGGGTTACTTCCCTTCTTCTTTTAATGCCACTAGGACCAGCTTGAGAGTCACTGGACCTCTGTCGCACAACAAATCTGTCCATAGAGCTCTGTACCTCCCGTTCCTTTACGATTTGTCTAAAATGGGCCACAACATTGTCATTGAAATAGTCACCAGCACGGCTTGCAACAGCTGTGTCAGGGTGATTTTCATCCATAAAGGTTTGCAGTTCAACCCACTGTGCACACATTTCCTTAATTTTTGAAGTAGGCACAATGGATTCCACAACTGGCATAGGCTTCTCAGGGTTAGCCCCAAACCCTTCAAAATCTTTCTTAATTTCCATACTAATTCTCACCCTTTTTACCACAGGGTTGGCACTAGAAGCTTTCTTGGGGCCCATGGTCACTTATTTTCCAGAAACAGCACCGAAAACACTGTAATAATACGAAATATTCCGATTGTATGCTTGGATGTTATTGCGGAGGCTGGCTGGTAAACAATGCCACCGGCGGAACATGTGAGCGTGGCTCAGGCCGCACATTGGAAGCGTCTCGGACGAAAATCGGTAAGCGGGTTTTTAAGCGGTATGCGAGGCAAAATTTTTGCAATTAAAGTAAGCGGTATGCGAAATAATCGCTATGTGATGCCATCGTTATGCGGGGGTCCACTGTACCTCCCTGGGCTGTTACTGTCTACCAACCTACTACCTAGATAAATGCATTTATAGTAATTTTTTTTATATCAAAATTGGATACATCCACATTATGATGCTACCTATTCTATATGATAGTTACACAGTTGAAACAAAAGCTTACTATGTTAACCCTGTCATATTCCATCATGCAAGATGGGGTTCATACAAGGTGTTGAAGTCTGTCAACATGAACTAGGAGACTTCAGCAGTGTCAGCCTGAGCTCAAAGACCTCAGTAGGGCAATGAGGATATTGTCAAGTATTCCAGTAAGGGTTCATCAACTATGGGAGCTTCGGAGATTTCATTTCAACATACTTAGTTACCATCACTTGGAATTGCCATCTCTCAGGATAACCTATCCGATACACAGGAGAAAAAGGAATTTTTATAAAGATAGCTCCATCATTAATAAATTTACAATACAAAATGTCTTCCTTTATATCATGTATGAGATTTTGCACATAAAAGAAGTTCAGCCTAAATAATCCTGGACTCTGGTATACTGTATGTTGAGCATTATGGCAGGTAAGTAAAGATTTTAATACAGTGGTACCTTGACTTGTGAGTTTAATTCGTTCCGTGACTGAGCTTGTAACTCAGTTTGCCGTGTATTAAATAAATTTTCCTCATTGAAATTACTTGTAATTGAAATGCCATTAATCCATTCCAACCCCCAAAAAACACCCCAATTTTTTTGTTATGGGTTTTTAAATAAAAAAGTATTTATAAATAAGAAATATTGTACAAAAAACATAATAAAAGAGAATGTGAAGAAATTAATTGGTTTTAGCTAGTGTATTTACCTTGGAGATCAGACAACTTGGGCTAACAGAAGATGCTGGCAGAGGTGGAGGGTGGAAAAGATAGGCAGAGGAGACTGGAGGAGTTCGTTTTGTTTCGTGCATTTTCGGTCACTTTTGTTAGTCACAAACTCTATTGTTTAATCGCTTAACTTACTTGCTGCACTTTTAATGCTACACTTTATCACTGAACTTAATTGCTACAATTTTTTTTTTATTTTTTTTCACTTCACTTTCACCTTTATCGACTCCTTTGCTTTGGTATGGTACATATAGTAGAAGTACTACGCTCATACTGCCTTGCCAAATCTACTACACGCACACCTCGCTAGTGTTTTTCTATGATTTCATGCTTTATTTCAATGGACATCATCCTCCTCCTCTTCTCAGCACTGTCCTTTGCACTTACTTTCTTAGGACCCATGGTTAGAAAAAAGAAATTTGGCAAAATAACTGCACAAAAAGCACAAAATGCAAGCAAAACATGAGAAGTGCTTCCATGGCGAGGTAACCAGAGTGAGACACAGGATGCCGGGTGGATATTGTAGTGTTTGCTGTGCCAACTAGTGGCGGTGTATCTGAAGCTCACTCGTAACTTGGATTTTGGCTTGCAACTCAAAGCAAAAACTCGACTGAGCGACGGCTTGTAACTCGGAAAACTCGTAAGTTAGGGGACTTGTAAGTCGAGGTACCTCTGTATACAGTATTCCATTCCTCATTGGAATTACAAGCTAATACTGCATCACTAATTTGATCTCAATTAAACAGATGTCCAAAAGTGTGCTTGCATTACAGTTCAGATTACCCTACTTCATATCCCTTCATAGTTTATAAAAGTGTTATGCTTTTCAGGTACTTGAAGAAGTAAACATCGATGGTGTCGTGAAATTTATTAAGAGTGGACAGTGCAAGAACATTATCACAATGGCAGGAGCAGGCATATCAACATCTGCAGGTTTGTCCATGTAAAAGTTTGTCTTCCAGCAGTAATTTCAGTCGAACAATATCAGTCTTCACCTGTGATTCTGTGAAGCATAAGACAGTGTATATATATATATATATATATATATATATATATGTGTATATATATATATATATATATATCCTAGGTAGTAGGTTGGTAGGCAGCAACCGCTGAGGGAGGTACTACCGTCCTGCCAAGTGAGTGTAAAATGAAAGCCTGTAATTGTTTTACATGATGGTATGATTGCTGGTGTCTTTTGTCCGTCTCATAAACATGCAAGATTTCAGGTATGTCTTGCTACTTCTACTTACACTTAGGTCACACTACGCATACATGTACAAGCATATATATACACACACCCCTCTGGGTTCTCTTCTATTTTCTTTTTAGTTCTTGTTCTTGTTTATTTCCTCTTATCTCCATTGGGAAGTGGAACAGAATTCTTCCTCCGTAAGCCATGCGTGTCGTAAGAGGCGACTGAAATGCCGGGAGCATGGGGCTAGTAACCCCTTCTCCTGTATATATTACTAAATGTAAAAGGAGAAACTTTCGTTTTTCCTTTTGGGCCAGCCCACCTCGGTGGGATACGGCCGGTGTGTTGAAAGAAAGAAAGGTAGTAGGTTGGTAGACAGCAACCGCCCAGGGAGGTACTACCGTCCTGCCAAGTGAGTGTAAAACGGAAACCTGTAATTGTTTTACATGATGGTAAGGATGCTGGTGTCCATTTTTCTGTCTCATAAACATGCAAGGTTTCAGGTACGTCTTGCTACTTCTACTTAAACTTAGGTCACACTACACATACTTGTACAAACATATATATATATATACACACCCCTCTGGGTTTTCTTCCATTTTTCTTACTAGTTCTTGTTCTTGTTTATTTCCTCTTACCTCCATGGGGAAGTGGAAATGAATTCTTCCTCCATAAGCCATGCGTGTTGTAAGAGACGACTAAAATGCCGGGAGCAAGGGGCTAGTAACCTCTTCTCCTGTATATATTACTAAATGTAAAAGGAGAAACTTTCGTTTTTCCTATTGTGCCACCCCTCCTCGGTGGGATACGGCCGGTGTGTTGAAAGAAAGAAGATATATATATATATATATATAATATATTTTTTTTTTTTTTTTCAACAAGTCGGTCGTCTCCCACCGAGGCAGGGTGACCCAAAAAAAAGAAAGAAAATCCCCAAAAAGAAAATACTTTCATCATCATTCAACACTTTCACCACACTCACACATTATCACTGCTTTTGCAGAGGTGCTCAGAATACAACAGTTTAGAAGCATATACGTATAGAGATACACAACATATCCCTCCAAACTGCCAATATCCCAAACCCCTCCTTTAAAGTGCAGGCATTGTACTTCCCATTTCCAGGACTCAAGTCCGACTATATGAAAATAACCGGTTTCCCTGAATCCCTTCACTAAATATTACCCTGCTCACACTCCAACAGATCGTCAGGTCCCAAGTATCATTCGTCTCCATTCACTCCTATCTAACACGCTCATGCACGCTTGCTGGAAGTCCAAGCCCCTCACCCACAAAACCTCCTTTACCCCCTCTTTCCAACCCTTTCGAGGACGACCCCTACCCCTCTTTCCTTCCCCTATAGATTTATATGCTTTCCATGTCATTCTACTTTGATCCATTCTCTCTAAATGACCAAACACCTCAACAACCCCTCTTCTGCCCTCTGACTAATGCTTTTATTAACTCGACACCTTCTCCTAATTTCCACACTCCGAATTTTCTGCATAATATTTACACCACACATTGCCCATAGACAGGACACTCCACTGCCTCCAACCGTCTCCTCGCTGCTGCATTTACCACCCAAGCTTCACATCCATATAAGAGTGTTGGTACTACTATACTTTCATACATTCCCTTCTTTGCCTCCATAGATAACGTTTTTTGACTCCACATATACCTCAACGCACCACTCACCTTTTTTCCCTCATCAATTCTATGATTAACCTCATCCTTCATAAATCCATCCGCCGACACGTCAACTCCTAAGTATCTGAAAACATTCACTTCTTCCAAACTACTACTCCCCAATTTGATATCCAATCTTTCTTTATCTAAATCATTTGATACCCTCATCACCTTACTCTTTTCTATGTTCACTTTCAACTTTCTACTTTACACACATTCTCAAACTCATCCACTAACCTTTGCAATTTTTTCTTTAGAATCTCCCATAAGCACAGTATCATCAGCAAAAAGTAACTGTGTCAATTCCCATTTTGAATTTGATTCCCCATAATTTAATCCCACCCCTCTCCTGAACACCCTAGCATTTACTTCTTTTACAACCCCATCTATAAATATATTAAACAACCATGGTGACATTACACATCCCTGTCTAAGACCTACTTTTACCGGGAAGTATTCTCCTCTCTTCTACACACACCCTAACCTGAGCCTCACTATCCTCATAAAAGCTCTTTACAGCATTTAGTAACTTACCACCTATTCCATATACTTGCAACATCTGCCACATTGCTCCTCTATCCACTCTATCATATGCCTTTTCTAAATCCATAAATGCAATAAAAACTTCCCTACCTTTATCTAAATACTGTCACATATATGCTTCAATGTAAACACTTGATCTACACATCCCCTACCCACTCTGAAGCCTCCTTGCTCGTCCGCAATTCTACATTCTGTCTTACCTCTAATTCTTTCAATTATAACCCTACGGTATACTTTTCCTGGTATACTGAGTAAACTTATTCCTCTATAATTTTTACAATCTCTTTTGTCCCCTTTCCCTTTATATAAAGGGACTATACATGCTCTCCGCCAATCCCTAGGTACCTTCCCCTCTTTCATACATTTATTAAACAAAAGTACCAACCACTCCAACACTATATCCCCCCCTGCTTTTAACATTTCTGTCATGATCCCATCAGTTCCAGCTGCTTTACCCCCTTTCATTCTACGTATTGCCTCACGTACCTCCACCACACTTACATTCTGCTCTTCTTCACTCCTAAAAGATGGTATACCTCCCTGGCCAGTGCATGAAATTACCGCCTCCCTTTCTTCCTTAACATTTAAAAGTTCCTCAAAAAAATTCTCGCCATCTACCTAAACCCCCTCTCCCCTCTCCCATCCTAATCCCCTACTTGTTTTTTAAGACAAATCCAATTTCCTGGCTATTGTTAACTTTTTTTTTTTTTTGGTTTT